GTGAGGGTTATACAACTCTGTGAATATACTAAAAACACTAAGTTTTATACTTTAAAATGGTCAATTTTATGGTATGAGAACAACATGCCAGGAAAACTGTTATTTAAAAAAAGGGAGGGGGGCCTGCCCTGGACCTACATATAACAAATACACTGAAAGTAAGTTCAATATACACATGGGGTCCTCTGCCTCTTGAGATCTGGCACTTGATGCTGACACAGTATAACCAAAACTGTAAACACCCATGCCTGTAACTAACACTGATCTGGCCCCAGGGATCACTTCTCTACATCTCTTGCCCGATGTCCTCAGAACAGAAGACAAGCGTGATTCTATCCTATGATGATCTGTGTGTTATGTCACTGCCGGTGGAGGGATGGACACTGCTTGGAGCCCAGGAAGGACTGCAGTGACAAAAGCACTTCAGTCAGAGGAAAGATAATCAACTTGTCAAATTCTTTCTCAGTGTATGCTTACACAACAAACTATCATTCCCAATATTACCAAGCATCCACTTTCTTGTTTTTCTTTCTATTTCTTCATGTTCTGAAAGGTCTTACAAATTAAAATAATATTTGCAAGACTGGTGTGCCTGGGTGGCTCAGTTGGTTAAGCATCCAACTCTTGGTTTCGGCTCAGGTCATGATCTCATAGGTTGTGGAATCGAGCCCTGTGTCAGGCTCCATGCTCAGTGGGGAGTCTGTTTGGGATTCCCTCTTTCCCTCTCCTTCAGCCCCTCTCCCACTCTCTCTCTCTAATAAATAAATAAATCTTTTTAAAAAAGAATAATATTTGCAAGATTATATATTCTCATGGCTGAGAACAATTCTGCAACACTCAGTGTTATGAGTTGAATTGTGTTCTCTCAAAATTCATACATTGAAGTCTTAATCCCCAGGACCTCAAAATGTGACCTTATTTGGAAATACGGTATTTATAGAGGTAATTAGATTAAAATGAGGTCATTGGAGTGGGTCCTAATACATTATGACTTGTGTCATTATAAAAAGGGGAAATTTGGAGACATGCACTTAGAGGGAGAATACCATGTAAATACCATGGCAGAAATCAAGATGATGTATCAACAAGCCAAAGAATTATGGCAAGTCACCAGAAGAAGAGAGAAATCTTCCTCACAGTCTTCAGAAAGAACCGACTCTGCCAACATCTTGATCTAGGATTTCTAGCTTCTAGAATTGTGAGATAATAACTTTCTCTTGTTTAAGTCAACTCAATATTCCTTGTTATAGCAGCTATAGAAAACTAATACATTAAGCAGTTCATATTATTCTTAAATTTGGGCATGTATAGGAAAATATGTGAAGCATGATGCTGATTTATATGATGAAATCATATTATATATTATGTTTTATAATAACATTAATAACATGATACATTAATATAATATTTTGTAATATAATGTGCACTATCATGTGATCACTTATCATGACCCATATATTATATATTACATATATAATATATAATATATATTTTATATATAATATGTTATTATGTATATAATATATAACATATATAATAATATAGATTAATTGTTATAGTTCATAATATGTTGTGAAATATCGTGATTATTTATCACATGACCCCATTATTATGTTTGAATATGACATTTAAAGTTCTTAGTTCATTTGCTTTAATTATTAGCAAACTGAACAATTGCTTTAGGAATTTCATTGATAATTATAGCTGCTACTGGCTCAGGGGAGTACAGTTTCTTCAAATTAAAATTAGTTTTAAAAAGTAAAAATTACAATAGCTCAAGAAAGTTTGTCTAATTTGGCATTGTTGTCAAAAGAATACATGCTAAAATCTTGTGTAAAAATCTGTGTAAAACAACAGAGGTAGTCATTTTGCTGAACTGAAGGCAATAAAAAAAATTTTAATGGAACTAATATATAACAATCTATGAATCATGTGTATATATAATATCTCTGGCCATGAACAGAACACTCAGACAAGCATAATAATGATTAAAGTAGTCATTTTTGATAGTTCTTGGCTTTTAGTCATATACAAATCATAACTTTATAAGTATTTTTTGATTTTGTCATTATGAAGGTATATTTGTCAATGTGGGAGGACAGAACATACTTCATTTAACAGTTTGCTAGCTTGATTTATAACTTTTAAATATTTAGACGTGCGGTATGTGGGCCTCCACTTGTACTCATGCCCCAGGCCCTGTAATCGTCAGGGGTGGGCCAGGATGCAGCAATGACAGAAGAAATAAAGCCTGTAGCCATGAACAGGAGCCATACTAATGTCTCAGACTTGCTCCTACTACATCTTAAAATGCCATTCTGTAAGCTTCATGTGGAAACCTGATGTAGTCCCTAGAAGGAGTGACAAGTGTCTCACTACCTTTGCCTTCCTGGGCCATTGTCTCAAGGACCCTACAAGTCCTTCTCAGTTGGGGTTTGTGTGGCTCTGTGGTCTCAAATGGCACTTGGCTCTCACCAGGTTTCCTAAACCTAATACATTTCACCGTTCCAAACATTAGAGCTGTGTCGTGGGCTTGCATTGTATTCCTTTGCAGTAACTCTGCTGTGCCACCCTCAAGTAAACAGAACGATGTTACAGCTACACTTCACTCCTACCTATATTTGGAAAAAATACTGTGCAGTTTGAGAAAAGGCTTGCAAAGCAATCCTCAAAGCTGCGATAGTCACCCTGGCTATCGTTTTGTTACGTTCTACCTGTCCTCTCGTGGCGAGGCTTGCCTGCTTGCTGGGGGCTGTGAGGACAGGGAAAGGAGACTAGCATTCTATCTGGGAATTAGTCTCGGGTAGAGAAGAACTCTTAGGAACAGGGTTAAGTGGTGACAGCAGAGAAAAGGGAAAAAGTAGGTCACTGGTTTCTAAGGGAAAGAGAAAAAAGTGCATCAAAACACCAACTGGGCTAACCGAACGTAATAATAAAAAGTAAAAAAAAAAAAACAAACCCACCTACTGGTGAGGCTCCTGGGTGGCTCAGTTGGTTGAGCATCTGACTCTTGATTTCGGCTCAGGTCTTGATCTCAGGGTTGTGATCAAGCCCCGCCTGGGGCTCTGTGCTCAGCAGGGAGTCTCCTTGAGATTCTCTCTCCCTCTCCCCCTCCCCCCACTACCCATGTGCATGCTCTCTCTCTCTCTCTCTCAAGTAAATAAATAAATCTTTAAAAAAAGAAAAGGAAAAGAAAATGCCACTGTCAATGCCCAAAAAAGGATGAAGATTGACCTGCGAAAAACCCCATGGGATTTCCAACTTCCATTGTATTTTACTGTAGCTCCCTCCAAGCAAACATGGCAACTATCTGTACATTTCATGCTCTCGCTGCCTAATCTGATGGATAATCAGACGGCTAACATGAAACAGAGGGGCCTGACATCAAAGGATACTTTTAGCTGTGACTGAGCATCTTTAAGGATATCAATATCCTCTCTGCAGACATCAGCTCACAAAAGCCGTGTACTATCTTTGTATAAAATTAAAAACCATGAGAGACTCCGACTGGGCTCATCAGAAAGATGATAGCAAAGGAAGAATGAAAATATCAAGAAGTAAGGACATACAAGTGTTTAAAAATAATTTTGATAACAAAAAAGGAATTCTCGATGCAAATACAACAGTCAGAACGTCAACAGCCCGGTGCTTCACAGTAAAGGCAGATTAGTGAACCGCATTCATCCACCTCCGATGCAGATTATCTACCACATTTGAAACACAGATTAACAGGAACAAATAAGGCACCAGGGTGGGAAGCATTTCTACAGCAAGTAACCTAAGTTTTAATCTTTGTTTAAAGAAGACTTCAAAAGGATTCCACATATCGACCGATGGTGAGATCATTAAAAAAAAAAAAATAACTTCAAGAATGCAATGCTGAGTGACCAAGTTTCTGACCTGTTTTAAGATCAATCAACATTTTCTACCGAGATAAGTAGAATGCAATTAGCACTTCGGTGATTTTAAAGGCTCTTTTACGGTTGCCTTTCATAGGCTGACGAAATAGCAGAACGGGGTGGCTGAAGGCCAATGTTTATTTTTACCCATTACCTGTTTTATTAATGGGACTGTGGGCCACTGGGCCCTTTAGGCACACACAAATATATTAAAATACCCCACACTGTAATTAAGTGGCACAGAAGGGATTAGAGCAAATTCAGTGGCTGTTATATTTGCTGTAGGAGTCATCTAGGTCAGACATTCTGATGCTCTTGTGGTAGAGCCCAGTGAATTTTATTTCTGAAGTCTACAAAATATGGAATATATTTTCTTGCAGAGCAAGGGCTTTAATAAACGGCTCTTATCCCCCAAATAAAAACATACATCAAGAAAAATGCCCCAAGCGGATGCTCCTCCAGTGAAGGTAGAGAACCCCTTAGCCAGAGGAAAGGACAAATGCATCACAAATCACATCAGTTTAAGAAATGGGGTCTTTAGACTCCAATAACAAAGGACTCAAAATGAATCAAACCCATGTAACTCTCAGTCCCAGCCCAGGGCTTTCTTCCCTCCCCTACGTGAGTCAGAACTTCTGCCTCTGAGTTTTTTAAAGGGAATACAAATAAAGTGATCCCTAACTGTTGGCCTGTTCAGTAACTAGAGCATCAGGAATGCAATGCTTGCAGAAACACAGAAGAGATCCTTTTAGGCTCCAGGCCTAACACTGCCCTGTATCATTTTTTTGTTTGATTTGACCAAATCCATTGTCATAACTAAATGTTAGATTGATTTTAAAAATAGAAAATGTAAGTAGGTTTTTGCTCTCATCAACATGTTCATAATCAGCGAGAGAATCAGCCACACTTGAGGTTAGTGCCAGTGCTAGTCTCTTGTGAATCTTCGTATCAGAGAAAAAGCAACATGGAATGAGGGCAGGGCAGCACGGAATGGAATCTGGACACACTGTTTTGGCCCAAGCAGAGGACAACATTGCCTCTGCCCTAAAAACCTCTGGAGAAACACTGAGAAGTGACAAGAAGGGAGATAAAAGTACTTACGAGGACCCTGGACTTGCAGTGGGAGGGGGGCCTGGAGAAATGAAAGGAAAACAAAAGAAACAGTCAGGCTGGGTTACTGGAGAGTGAGTGTGGGTTCAGTCAAACCATTACAGATGAAAGTTCGCAACCACCCCGAGGTAAGATTTATTTTTCTGGGATTTATTATTTTGTTTCAGTTCCCCACAATCACCTCTACCAAAAAACGTACCAGTGAGCACCTGTCTAGAGCCCACAGTTCCGGGCCTGGAAAACGCTAGGACAAGTGCTGACGAATGAGTCGCTAAGAGTAGGCGTCCTCACGCTATGTGGGGGGTTTGCAGTGGGAGGCTGAGTGGTCCCAGGAGCACACTGGTCGAGACAGGAGAGGTTTGGAAGGCAGCTGGACAGACAAGGGGCATACGTGCTGCAGACCTTCCCATCTTCTCTCTCACTGGCATGGTGGTTTAGAGCAGGGCTGTGGGGTCAGACAGATCTGGACCCCACTCCTGCTCTGCCATTTACTAGCTGGGCAACCCTGCACATGGTCCTTAACCACTGGCCCTGGTTTACTTACTTGTAAAATGGGTGCAACTGTACCAGCTTTAGAAACTGTCCCAGTTTCTAGGCACATAGGACATTTTCAGTATGTGCCCATTCCCTCTACCCTCCCCACCCCCCAAGAATGCTGAGGGCCAAAGGCCATCCCCAGCAAAAGGTGGCTTACCAAACTTGACGAACAAGACTCCAGTGGTAGAAACCACCTTCTTGCCGTTTGTTGCCACACACTGGAAGTAGCCTGTGTCTGTGGTGTCGAGGTTTCTAATCCGCAGCCTGGAGCCATAGTTGGTTGCCCGAAAGGAGATCCTCCGGGGCTCCTGCACCACAGGTGCATCATTTTTGAACCAGCGGATGGTGGGAGGTGGATTCCCAGACACTTTGCAGTGCAGTTCAGCTGTCTGCCCCAGGGACGTGGTGATGTTATTCATCGGTTCATCGAGGGTCAGGTAAGAATCTGTGAGCACAGGGCGAAGGAGGCAGGTGAGAGGGGTAGACAGCTAAGGGGCACCTCCGAGCAACCCAAATCCACTCCAGTGTGCCCCAGGACCACAGAGAGACTGCACAGGAGAGGCATGGTGGAGACAGACCAGGCATGAAATTATACATTTACTGAGACCCTGTGACTATAGAACAATCACCCACGGAGCCTGCTGCTTACAAGGAAACTTGTCACTAACCATTGTTTAAAGCCCAAAGTTTTCAAATGACCATATGGTAACCCATGGATAAGTAAATGTACATCCTAAGCCAACACAGAATGAGATTTTGTGTTTCAAAGTATGAGAAGAACACACGGTCCTTGTTACAGACTCAAACAATACTGTGAAGAAGAAAAGGCTTCAAAATTCACCTCAAATCTTTCCACCCCAAAATGATACCATTCTTAACATGCTGGCAAAGATCCTTCCAGCTTGTCCACTTTTGATAGGAAAGAAAGCATGAAAGACTGGAAAAGTAGGAGCGACATATTTATACGCACATAGCACAAGATCAGGAAGGATGCTGAAAACCTTGCGGCCAGTGATCATATAAGCCCCAGGTTGCTGGCAGACAAAGTAAGGAGGCAATGAATAGTTCCATAATGTTACTCATATCAACCATTAAGATGTTACAATAAATAATTCTATATATTCAACTTTTAATTGAGATATAATTTACATTTTAGGAAATGTACCCATCTTCAGTTACATAGTTCCAGAAGTACTGACAAATGCATATATCCATGTAACCAATGCCCTTACCAAGATAGAGAGCATCCTGAACAACCCAGAAAGTACCCCTAAGATCCTCTGTAGTCAATGCTTGCTTCCATCTGCACCCCCATCTCCATTCTAGGCAACTACAGTTCTGATTTCTATCATCATAGACTAATTTTGTCTGTTCAAGGATTGCATATAAATGGAATCATACTGTATGTACATTTTTCATTTGGCTTCTTTAGAGATTTCTTAAACATTTTAATAATGAAATAAATTTTAAATTTATTCTTCAATAATATATTTTAAACCTCATATTGGTATTAGTTGCAGAATCCAGTACAGAGAAAATAATTTACTATTTAAAAAATTAAGTTCAATATTTTTTTAAAACAATTGGTCTGTTGTTGATGTATAAGGAGTTTTCTTTGACTTCATGTTCCCTGACCACCCATTCTTGGGTCGATCTCCTCTGCCATACCCTCCCATTGCCTTCTGTCCTTCCCTGACTCCCAACCTGGGATGGATTGTTAAGCAGTTGTCCTCTCTGCGGGACTACAAGCCTGTAAGGGCAGGCATCTAGAATGTTTTGCCATCACTGTATCTTTAGTGTATCCTACCGTCTAGCAGCAATCCAATCCAATAGGACTTTCTGTAATGATGGAAATGTTCTATAATCTGCATCGTCTAAATGGCAGCCACCAGCTACAGGTGAGCTACTGAGCACATGATATGTAACTAGAGCAACTGAAGAACTGAATTTTTTTTTAAGATTTTATTTATTTATTTGCCAGAGAGAGAGAGAGAGAGAGAGCATGCAAGTGAGCGCACAAGCAGGGAGAGTGGTAGGCAGAGGGAGAAGAAGGCTCCCCACTGAACAGGGAGCACAATGCGGGACTCGATCCCAAGACCCTGGGATCATGACCTGAGCGAAAGGCAGATGCTTAACCGACTGAGCCACCCAGGCGTCCCAAGAACGGAATTTTTAAATTTAAATTTTAACAGCCACACGTGGCTAGTAGCTGCCGTATGGTACAGCACAGGCAGAGCATAGTAAATTTGTTGAATTTAATGGAACTTTGTTGAAAAATAACCCTTTTTGGGAGAGATCTAAGTGGCTAATTTAAAAGCACCCAAATTCCTATAAAATGCTTTCATACATGCCCAAAATAAATAATTCATTAAGTACCTTAATTTTCCACAAAATGATTAGGGAGAGATGTCAAAGTCTGGGCAGTCCCACAGGAGCATGTCACGCATGTGAATGACATTTATCTTATGTGAGTGGTAGAAAACAGATTAAGTATGACTATCACTCACTGTGTTTCCAGAATGACACTTTTCATCCCACTTAAACCAATGAATAATTATCCTTCACAACGCAATCATGAGCCCATAAATTATGTTGCTAATGTCTTGCTTCTTTCCATTTATATTCTGATCTTTATCTCTGAACTTGTTTCTCTAATCTATATCCATATATATTCAAACTACGAATGTTTTTGCTCATGGACAGAAGCACATGTGTTCCTAAGACGTTTGAGGTGTGTGCCCAGAGAGTAGAGAGACTAAGGAACAGGTGGCTTTATGGAGCTGCCATCATGGCCTCACAGTCCTGTCTCCTGCCCAGAGAATGGCTACCTATGTACCCTTGCTAGAAAAGAAACATAGAAATAGCAATGCCAATATAAGCATAGTGATTAATACTCCATTGGGCAGGTTCTGGAACTCAACTAACTGGGTTTGAATCCCGGGTCAGCCCTCAATTCTGACTGACTTTAGGCAAGTTACTTAACCTCTGGGTATCTCAGTTTAACTGAAAAATAGGAATATATTAAATAGGACTCTACCAGGCAAAGCTGTTGGAGGATTAAAATTAAATTGGGTGACACATAGGCAGCACTTAAACTAGTGTTAGGCAAAAAAGTAAGCACTCAAAATGTTAATCAACGTTACTGCAATTCTTTTTATAATAATAACAATTTTTGTATAATGCTTTTCAGGTTACTGAGTCTCGCGTTCTCCTCTAACAATCTGGCAAAGTCGGAAAGGAGGAGCATTAATGATCACAATAAGGAAATCACATCTCAGAGATGCACTGACCGGACCCGTGGTCTCTCAGTGAGCTCGCTGTACATTGTGCCCAAAGCCTCCAGCGCTAGCAGCCTTAAGTTCTCAGGCTCAGCCAAGGAGAAAGTCCAAGTGAGCCAACAGGCCAATACGGTAGTGAGCACAGATGGACTATTTAGAATCCTACAGTATGCCGGGGGCTTTACTTCTGTACTCACTCGCTCAATAACCCCACAAGGCAGGAACTGTTATCATTGCTTTATAATGATGAGACCTAGGATCAGAGAGGTTAAGTGACTTGCCCAAGGTCGCATGGCTGAACTGAGGTCTAATCCAGATCTCTCGGACTCCAAAACCTAGCTCTTTCTATTCTCGCAGACTGCCTGGGCAGCTCGAGCCCCACTGAGGGGTGGGGACAGAACTTGAGTTTCTTCCCTAAAAAAGAGCCAGCTGGGGACACACACCCACATCCCCACAGGGCTGTGATCTGCCCCTAACTCCAGTCAGGATTGTCTAGCTAATGGGTCTAAACTTTAGCTGGTGTTCTGGTTTCCCTCCAGAAGCCAGGTAACTCACCTTACCTGCTACATGGGGATCCCAATTCCCCTGCCTATCCCCTGACAGGCCCTTCTCCCTTTTTTTTTTTTTTTTTTATTTATTTATTTTTTTGGTGACTTGTTAATTCTAGCCATTCTGACAGGTGTAAGGTGGTACCACATTGTGGGTTTTTTTTAAGATATATTTATTTATTTATTTGAGAGAGAAGCGGGAGAGGGATAGAGGAAGAGGGAGAGAATCTCAAGCCCAGACTTCCCAGTGAGCGCAGAGCCGGACATGGGGCTCAGTTCCACGGCCCTGAGATCATGACCTGAGCTGAAAATAAGAGTCAGACGCTCAACCGACTGAGCCATCCAGGCGCCCCCTACCTTCTTTCAATATTGAAGCTAACCAACACCAAGCCACACTCCCAGAGGCCAGGATGACAGCTGCTGGGTGCATGCCTCAGGGGTTAACATTACCTGCTGAGTTTTAGTCAAAAACCAAAGTCACTTCTACTTCTTCTCTTTAGTTTTCTCTGACAGGTGGTTGGAGCCAACGCCCAGCCAGCTCTGTGGCCAAGTCCACATAACACATCACATAAAAGGGTGGCTGGCACTTCAAACTATTTCTTTGACTCCAAACTCCAGTTACTTTGCATGATACCATAATCACAGACATACAGAGCTTCAAGTTTGTTCTTCTAAGAACATAAATTAACCAAGAACCAGAGAGTTCTATCATGTGGGGGAGGGGTAGTTTTTTAATTACCCTCTGAAGGCGTATTCAGATTTATTGAAAACAAATTAGTAAGGGCTGATCTAATGTACAAAATCAACCCTCACAGACTCTGGAGCCAGAATGCCTGAATTCATGTCCTAGTTCTGCTCCTTATCAGCTGTGTGACCTTGGCCAAGTTGTGTACCCTCTCTGTGTCTCAGTTTTGTTATCTGTGAAATTAGTACACTAGGTGTATCTTCCTCATAGGGCTATTTCAAGCATGAAAGGAATTAACACATGGCAAGTGCTTGGAATAGGCTCTGACACAGAGCAAGGAGCATGTGAGTTTCTGTTATTTTTATCAGCTGTCTTTTTCTTTTCTTTTTCTCACAGATATCTTATTCCTAAAAGTAAGGAATGATTATTCATCCAACTGATTGGTTTCCTGACCAAGTCTAGTCTTGATTTTATAGAAAAGGACACCAGTGGGGTGAAGTCACCTGCCTGAGATCACATAGCTAATACACTGAAGGCAAGAGTGGTTGACTTGTCCTTGAAGCTCTACGTAATACCCACCTACAAACAAAACTGAGGACTGCAGGGCATCTTGAAATCAGTGTAGTCGCTGACCCAAGTGGTATATGTCCAGAGAGAACAAAGGAAATGTAAACAAATCTTTGTGTTTATTGAACAAAGGAGCCCTGCCACAAACACAGGGAATTTGGTTTTAAATTGTTACCAATAAAGAATAATGTTCAAATTTGTTTCCCATCTGTAGCTGCTCACTTAGAACAAGCAAATGGCCTGGCCCTCAGTTTGGCAAAGACTAGGAGCATCAGAACAACATTTGGCCTAAACAACATGAAAGCATTTTGTGACTGGAATAAAATAAAATAAAATCGCATGTCTGCATCATTACTATCAGCCTTG